AGTTAGCCTACACAAAATTACTGTGCATGGTGATAAATATACCTCTTCTGTATGTAAAAGTCAAGGGCCATTGCATTTGAATACTTAAATCAATTTAATCTGAACACACTGCGGCTTTAACCTAACAAACTTACCTACTTATGCTGAATATACTGAAAATAGGCCTAACTAACCTTGGGGAAAAAATATTGGGAATTATAATTATCTGTAAAATAAATAAAAGGTACGTTACTTACTATTACTATTGAAATGTGTTTCGCAGCTCAACAGGATGCTTCACATAGCCTAGGCACTCACATGGGTTAAGTAGTCCCACGTCGTACTAATTACACGCATATTCGTCACTTAAAATCGGATATTGAAATGAAAATTTATTGTAAACACGCCTTGACATTTGGAACCTCAACTTAATAAATAAATAAATTCCCAGAAGTTAAATTTAATATCTTGATGAGTCAACTTGCTCACACGAGGTCACGCCGGAAATTCCAAACTCGATCACATGATCTGACCTTGCATGATTACACAATGGAATTCATGTTCTAAACCATTACTGAACACCTTAAATTACCTTCCCCGAAAATAAAAAATCGTTTCAAAAGTGAAAATTATGGAACTTAAGACTTACTCAAAGCCTGGCCAGCCGAACAGGATCCCGCGATAGTTACTATGCAGGCCACGATGATGTTACGTAACGCTTTGCTCTGCTACCAACTGTGGGGTCTTGACTGGAATTAACCCAGCTAGATCCACATTTAATAAATATCGTGCTGATTCCACTACCCAATAGCACTCACGTAAACCCTGCCCAGCGTAAGCCAGCTTTGATAAGTCGTGAATAAATTCATTAACTACTTTTTTATTTAATTTTAACTACCCCTCGCCATTGAAACTCGCCTGCAGCAACTTGCCCTAAACATGATATCGATAATTGTAAAGTTAATTTAGTTACATCAGTTAATTTATTGTTGGTTGAACCTGCCCTAATTTAGAAAAGATACCCCTTACCCCCTTTATCCCCCAAAAGATTACAATTAATTAGACATTATCGGTACTTTACCAACTGTTGACCAAGGATCAGGACCTCCTTCTTCTTCGGCGACGGATCTCAGACAAACCTGCTTGCCGGCGGTTGGTCTTTTCCGGTTGGAGCGCTAGTCTCGGTCCGACTAGAGCTGTCTGCCTGCCTTTGGATCAGCCGATGGGGTTGACTCTTACCTCAATATATATAATTATTGGCGGTGATGTGGGTTACTCCCACATTACTCTCAGCAGACGCTTCTGTCGTTCTAGTTCTCTTGCTTCAGCTTGACGTTGTCGTTCCATTGCCCTCTCCTCTCTTTGCCTTTGTTGTTCCTGCATTTGGCGCTCCATCTCTTGTCTCTGTCGCTCCATCTCTTGTCTCTGTCGCTCCATCTCCTTTTCTTCAAATTCTTTCAGCCGTTGCAACTCTCTTTCTTCGTGTATTTTCTCAAGCCTGTTTATTTCTTCTATTTCTTCTAGTTGCAGTTGAACTAACCGGTGCTTGCTGGAAGTTGAAGATTTGGTTTTTGACTTAGAAGGTGGTTTTACTGATTGACTATCTCCTTCTATGGGTTCATCATTCTTGTCATTTGCATTTTCTGGGGAATATCTATTTGGAGGGTGTTTCTCTCTCCCTGACTTTCGGATTGACATATTTTTTGACAGTCTTTTATCTTGTCTGTCTATAATATTTTAACATTGATTCCAGCATGGCTTCCTTCAAGACTTCAAGTATTTTGGAATTTTCTATCGGCTCATCGTCAACTAGACCTATCTCATTTTCTTTATCAGGCTCTTCCGTTTTCTCTCCAACCACTCGGACTGTCTGGACACTGGTGAGAATGTCAGAATGTTTCTCAGGGTCTTGAATCATATTCTTAGCCTCCAGGGGTTGGCATTCCTTCTCTAACGCTTTTTCTTTTATTGGATCCCTGTTTAGACAGACAAGATAAAAGACTATTAGGACTTCACAAAAGATGTGTATTTATTTGACTGTTTACAAAAATCATAATAATCAATAAAACATATGTTAGTTAAACTGTATATGAAAGAAGGCAGGCATAGATTAGACATAGATTATTACAGTCCTTGTTGTAAGCCTACTATAGCCAATTGTTACATAGCCAAGTAGGCCTACGTGTTACTTTACTTTACAATTTTCAACATGTTTAAATTAAAAAGCCGATTTCAGGATAAGTTGCTGAATACTGTTTTCTGCAACGTTTGTTGAAGCACAATTTGCCCTATGCATAATGACAAAGGACAATTTCTTGACATTGAAAAGTGTTATTCATAGAACAAGTAACTTATCACTATGGTTAAAAGTTATAGATGTCGTTTTTAACATTAAAAATAAAGAAAGGTTTATTTGGAATAAACTCCAATTTCAGTAGGCTAGGCTCTGTAACACAAAAATGTATTTTTAAATAATTGTTTTACAGTTTTATTGTTTTTAATAGTTTATGTAAGACACCTATTATAAATAAATAAATGTACCGGTACATTAAAGAAATAAAATGAGCTTTTAAAATATAGTTTGGTTGTATGACCTTTGAACTTAATGAAATTTACATAATATGCTTAAAAATAATGCAATATTTAATAAACAGCATCAGCATTCTGACACATACTTTCTTCCATAAGCTTGTCTACAACCTTTATCATGGGTAAGCGGTGAGAGTAAATATGATATTTGATAGTTAAAAATCACAAAAGTTGCAATAACTTTTGAGCCATAATTGTTACAGCAATGGGGGTTGTACTATTTTTTTAGAATTGTAAGGACCATAACATATTAATTTTGATCAAAGCCAGCTTTTCTCCAAAAATGAGATTTTTTTTATTTTAGCCTATGTTTTTTATGGGAGAATATATATATATACACTTATATAAATTATGAAAACTGTTTCAATACAGTTAAATATATACACTTACATACAGGGTGTCTATAAAAGAACTCCGGGATTTTAAAAATTAATATCTTAATAACTGTAGAAGATAGCAAAATGTAGTTAATTTCTCTGAAACGAGTAGCTCATCAAGTTTTACTACCGATTGGGAATGTTTTCATCAACAGTTTGCAGCGCTGCAGAGCGTTGACCTTGAAACAACGTAGTGAGGCTGTCAGTGCTGTCTGGATTGCCGCGCTATGGCGACGCCGCAACAAAATGCTCAGTGCATTATCTGGCTAATAGAAACTAAATCTGTTGTTACGGTACAAAGAAACTTTCGGCGTTTAGTTTACTTCCAACAAGATGGGACACCGCCACATTTCAGTTTGCGTGTGCGTGAGGCACTTGACGTTCGACTCGGCAACAGATGGATTGGAAGGGAAGGATCGATTCCATGGCCTCCAAGGAGCCCTGACATGACTCCGTTGGACTTTTTCTTCTGGGAGCACATCAAGAATCTTGTGTATGCGGAGAAAATTCATGATGTTGACCATCTCAGGCAACTAATAATCAATTGTGTGGCAACCGTCCCCCCAGACATGCTGGTCAGGACATGGGAAGAGGTGGAATACCGTTACGATGGGTGCCGTGCCACTAACGGCGCTCATATTGAACTTTATTAAATTGTTAAAAAAACTTGAAAATGTAACCTTTCCAATCATGTATTAAACATGTATATTTTTTACTTACTAAGTTACTTACTTATTTTTACTAAGTTTTTTACTTCAGTGTAATATTTTGCCTCAAAACCCCGTAGTTCTTTTATAGACACCCTATATATAAATATAATATATATTTAAATATATATATATATATTTACATATATATATATATATATATATTAGCTGTAACCCGCGGGCTTTGCCCCGTTTAACTTCTTAATTTTCAAGATTATCTCGTTCGCATGGCTCAATCACGTCCTGGTTGAAGTTTGTTCGCTACGCTCACTCACCTTTAGGTTGGAGCTCGTTTGCTACGCTCACTCACCTTTAGGTTGGGGCTCGTTCGCTACGCTCACTCACCTTTAGGTTGGAGCTCGTTCGCTGCGCTCACTTGCCTTCAGGTTAGCTCGTTCGCTACGCTAACTCGCCTCCAGGTTGAAGTTCGTTCGCTACGCTCACTCACCTTTTGGTTGCAAATTAGCTGTTGTCATAAATGTAAAAGAAATAATAGTGCTGCACCCTGTTGGTAATTTTTGTAACTTTAATGCTATTGAACATCACAGAACAGAACCAACTTGTTTAATTGAAACAGCTGTTAAGATTCAATAATTTCATTTCTCATAAGGTTAACATGGGAAACTCCAGAGCCACTGGGGTGGAGCCCGAAAGGATTTTTGATATAAGAATATGCCTATATGTTAATCGGGAATGTGAGCTATCATCATGCCAAATTTCAGCCCAATCCGACCAGTATTTTTCGCGTTCACTTGTCACAAACATACATCCATACATCCATCCATACATCCAAACTTTCTCATTTATAATATTATAAGTAGGATATACACTGTATATGAATCCGGACGGATGGTTTTTTTGGCTTCTAGGTACATCAAAATGAAAATGTAAATCGGTCCCGGGTCCAAGTCTTACCACGAGACCTTACAGTAATAGCTAATTTCCTAAGTTATATGGGAAATTCGCTAAAAATATATAAAATTCTAATTAAAATTAAGATTTATAGTCCTTATTGTCTGATTTGATTTCCCTAAAAAGAAAATTAGGTGTCATTTAAATATTTTTTAACTTGTTTCAAACACTTACAAATTCATGCAGTTTCCTCCTTCCACCACGTACCATTGTAGAAAATAGAAGATATATAGTTTATTAAAGTTCATTGAGAACAGAACAAGCACCGTAAAATATTTACATACTATATTTCTTAGTTACATTTTAGTAGTTCAGGGTTAATTACTTAAAAAGAAACCAAGAAATTAATAAGTGTTTGTGAATGAACAGAATCTTTATTCAAAACATTGTTTAGCTGACAAAAAAAATCTCCAAAATGTAATATTTGATATTTCAGGTTATGCTATTGACCCTACTGTTGACAATGAAAACGAAGGTAAAACTATTGTTGGGGCCACGCTCGCAGCAGAGGAGACATCGATGAAGACTGTGTTTGAGGCGACAACCAAAAGACCATTGGACAAGAGAAAACGAAAGAAAAATGATGATCCAGGAGACATTGAGGGATTTCTTGGTCCTTGGGGTGGTTTTAAAGATGAGCAGCGAGTTATGAAACCTAATGAGGTAAAACAACTTTGATTGAAAACCAACTTTGCAGGGATGACTCTAATATTAACAAGAGTAATTTCGTACTTAGTCAATTTTAACTAATGCCTTTAAAATATTTATCCAAGCATGTACTATTTATATTTAATGATACTAGATAACCTGTTGCTGAAAATCGAGCAAAACTGCAACATGTAAAAAAAGGATTAAGAACAAAAACATAAACTGCTAGACCTCAATAAAATAGTCACTCTAAAATTAGTTGAAGACTTAGTTTCATCGTTGACTATATACACAGAATTCTGTATATAGTCAATGGTTTCATGTTGTGTTGTTTATTCCGAATCAGGTTTACAATAATATTGTAAAAAGGTTAAAAATACCTGTAACTGCCTCGTGATGCCTCTGCTCCCATACTGGACTACGCACGTTTCAATGCATTAGCATCATTATCAGGTCACAAAACTTGAAGAAACTTAACCATTCTTTAATTGGTCGCGTCAAAGTTCATAAAAATTACACAAAACATTAAAAACATTTAAAAAAGGGGACAAAGACTGTAGGCCTACAAACACTGGTGTACACATGACGGGTGCCGAGTCTCAACTGGTTCAGGAGCTGAACTTTGTCCCCCGGCCGCCTTTATTACACTCCTTGTCCAACTTAATAAGTGATTCAAATAAAATATTTTTTTTCAGAGTACTTTTGTCATTTATATGTCCTGTTGATCAATCTTGAATCTGTACTATATAAAAATAACTCGATTTCCAACAATTCCAAAAAATCAATGTTTATTTTCGGTCTTTGGTTCGATAAATTTGTTTTCTGTCTTTAGTTTGTTGAATAATGCAAAGAAACTATTTATAAATTATTAATTAAATATTGATCGGAAAATTGTGTATTGAAAAAATGTCTGTTGTACAAAATTGTATACACAGTAGAGCCTACAATTCAAGTGTTCTTTGGGAGTTGGTTCAGATTCAAAGTAGGCTATTAATTCCAGGCTGAAGCTGAGGAGCTAGAGGAGTATTTGGCCAAGAAACAGAAACGCGGGAAGCAATCTGATGATAAACCTTTGGAGGAGAAAACCGTTTTACACAGTAAGTAGGATTAAAATTGCAGTGAATTCTGGAATAGGTTTTAAGATTGAATACAGTAGTTAGGTTTCTAACAAAAAACTTTATTCTTAAGATATCACGTATATACACTTGACAAATTGCTAAAAACAACATCTCTTTGTAGGCCTAACTGGAAAATCGGATAAAAAAATATAGACAGCAGTGGTTTTTAAAAATTCTTTCCCACTCCTCCATTTTCAATGCCTTTGTTACAAAACTTAAACGTATTTAATGATAGAAATTTAGGCTAGTTTGAATCTTTTTACTGGTTCCATGGTGTTTGCATTACTTAAGTTGTATTGTTTTTTGGGAAGAGATTGATACAGTGTGAATTATTAAAAATAAGCTGAAAGTCGAGAACATCAGCTGAACATGTTCTCTTTTGTTAACCTTTTTAGCTTATTTAGAGGAAGCAAATAGTTCTAAATAAAAGATTAAACACATTTTTATTTAAATTTAGTAGGCAAGTGCCTAGGACACGAGGCAATTGGCTTTTTTGGGGACGCCAAAAAATTGGAAAGTAAAATATTTTGTGGTTGTATTTGCATACGATCGCGTTAAAACAGATAATCCCTTGCATCATAATAATTGCCGCCCGCGATTGCGGCAAAATGGTAATCATTGCTTGCGGTCTTGTGTAGATCATCAACGTCACAGTAAATGAGGCAAAACTCCGATCTTTTCCCGCGATTGTGGGGGTATTATCATCGTCTTGCGCGATCGCGATAAAATACTGAACACCCCTCGCGGCCGTGAAGGCATCATTATACCTTCCCCGCGGTCGTTTGGACATAGTAATTGCCTCCCGTGATTGTGTCAAAATGGTAATCATCTCCCGCGGCCATGTGGAGATCATCGTCGGCCTGGGTTTATATTAGCAGAAACAAAGATGAACACAATTTTGGGAGTTAAAATGAATATTATCAGTAGGCCTACATAAAAAACCGCTTAATTTTGTTGTCAAGTTTAAGTTCGTATCTAAAGGAGTCTTTTTTTAGTCCCACCTTCACATCCTAGGACGTGTGCTCTATCCCAGAACTGTTTGACATTATCATATTACTTCAAACAGGCTAGGCCTTATCACTTGGATCCATTAGTGATTGGCGTGATTTGAACGTGGAACCTCAGGGACCCAAGTCGCTTTTAGACCAGCTCACTCCCAGGTTCTAGTGAAAAAATATACCATTATAATATACAAATAAATGTTTAACGTTGGTGCCACTATGTTGCAGTCAAGGACAGTACAGACTACCAAGGTCGTTCGTTTATACATCCTCCTCAGGACGTCGGTGTTAACCTCAAGTCAGAGACACCTCCAGATAGATGCTTCTTGCCCAAATCTCACATTCACACCTGGCAGGGACATACCAAGGGAATCTCTGCCATCCGCTGGTTCCCCCACTCTGCTCACTTGCTGCTGTCTTGCAGTATGGATTGTAGGGTCAAGGTACAACTGTCATATCACAACGTCATACATTGAAGTGTTTCCAGTATTTTACACCATCTAAGTTACATTGTTGATATAAATATCAGGTTCTGAAAGAATATCTACCAGCCTAAACAGCTATTTATTTAAAAACCCTGTTGGGGTGTTATGTTCTTCCTTCACATAGGACACAGCTTGGTATCTAGCTTGGAACTGTTATACTGAATAATTCAGGCTAGACCTAAAACGTTGCGGCATTATTACATGGATAAAATCCATTTGTAATTGATGGGATTTGAACTCGGGACATTGGCAAAATGGTTGAAAGCTTTACCCGACTTGTGCTGAAACTTGTTAGTCAACTTTTGAACTACTACGCTCGGGGTTGAGTATGTCTTTTAGTGTGGTAGACTGTAGCCTGATCAATGGCGGAGCAGTCTAAAGGATTGTTTCTCCAGCCAGGAATCAGTCGCATAGATAAAGGGTTTGGATACGTTCTCACTCAGGCCTAGTGTTAAATAAAAGGTATTGACAAGTAAATTCTTTCTGCATTTTTCCTTTGAATAAGGCATTTCTCTACTTTTTAACTGTTCTTACTATGTGTATATCCACCAAAAAAACTGGTTTCATTATTTTTTAGCGAATTTCCCTTTTAGGGAAGTAGCTATTACCGTAGGTCTCATGGTAAGACTTAGGCCCGGGACCGATTTACTTTTTCATTTTAATGTCCCCAGAGGCCAAAAACACCATTCGTTCAAATTTTTATATATGTATATATATATAGGTATATATATAGATTTATATATATATATATATGTGTCCGTGAACACGATAACTTGAGTAATTTTTATCCGATTTTGATGAAATTTGGTTTGAAGATGTAAGGCGGGATAAACTTGAATGAGTTCGCGATTCAGCATGATCGGACCATGGGAACAGGGTTTTATGGGGGGTTTTATGGGGTAAAAATGGGTTTTTCTCACTTTTTACCCTCAAAACACAAAATTTCCCAATTTTTCTCTAAACCTTCTTAAAGAGCTTAAAAAAACAAACAATTCAGTATATCAAAGTGTTTTTGTACGGTTATTGGTTACGGAGAAAACTAAAAAAATGGTAAATTTAAAATTCCCATGTTATTCTTATGGAGAATATTGTAAAATGTTGTAGTTTGCTTGTTTATGGATATATTTTGATCAAAGTTGGCAAATTTATTTATTTTATAGTAAGCTATCAATATTTTACTAAAAACACACTACTTTATTAGTTTCCTTGTAGCAGCAAACCTAGGTACTCGTTAAACCTAATAATGTTATTTAAATAGATCAATTGAAAATCAATTCGGACAAATGGAAATTCGCTTGGACGGCAGATTTGCTGCGGCGGGGGTATTTTAAATTTGTGTTTATAAAATGGAGGAAAAAACAAATTGTCAATCTATGAAAACTCCCTGGGTTCAATGATTCGGTTTAACGGGTTAGATTTCAATGGTTTACGGTATTTAACGTTTTCTATAAGCTGCAAATAAAATAACTTAGCCTATACTTCCTTTTAGCTGTGGGAAGTTTACAAAGACCGACGGTGTGTGAGGACTTACTACGGCCACCGTCAGGCTGTCAGAGACATTGCCTTCAACAACCCTGGCACACAGTTCCTCTCAGCAGGTGAGTGGAAAATGATAATGACGAGAATATGTTTGGGTTAAATTCATAAATGAAAAAATAATTGATAATAGTAAATTTAAACAATTTTGGGAGTTAAAATGAAAATGAATATTATCAGTAGGCCTACATAAAAAAACGGCTTCACTTTTTGAAGCCTCAGTATTGAAATACCTCACCAATATTTCCATATTCTTTTTTTGTGCATGCTGCATATGATCGGTACATCATTCAAGTTATGGGATACTGAAACAGGAGAATGTATCTCTCGTTTCACCAGTTGCAATATACCGTATTGTGTCAAATTCAACCATTTTCAACATATATTTTATAAAATGTTAAGTATATGAATTGACTTGTTTACAAAATTTATGATTTATCAACAAAACAAATAGGTTTAGGTTTAGCTAGCTTACATGAAGAAATTAAGAGTTCTTTTATACTTTTTATACTTTTTTTACTGACTAGTTTATAGTGGAATCGAACTACATTTTTGCCTTGGAATTTACCAATTTTGGTCTAATAATCAGGATAGTAGGGCCTACTGCCTATAGTCGTAGTGCTCACTAGTTTGTTAATCTACACCAGAGAGTATCACATCCACAGATCATGCCTATAAATATACAAAATTCTTGACCTCCAGGTAGCTGGATTACATGACGACGACACGGTCCCAGTTCAGGGGATAATAGATAACACACTTATGGTTACTTAGGCCGGTCGCACACTGATGCAGCATTTCACCTGATGCAAGTGTTGCGAGGCAAAATGTTTAGCTGGATACGAGCGCCCCATGTATTTCAATGGGAGGCCGCACACTGATCAAACGAGGCGCCTCGCAACGCCTTGAAACATTTGAGCAGCCGCTCGAAGAATGGATCCCATACAGCACGATGTTTGATGTTTCAAGGAGCAAAACGTTCTGCGTATGCGCCAAATCCCTTCTAGCTAGTAAGGCCATAGACTAACCAACACAACTAACCACAGTTAACTTTTTAATGCGTTGCAGTAGGAAAACCAAACTCGGCACATATTTACAACGTAAGAAATTGCACTTTTTCATCAAAGTTACAACTTTGCCTCAGTCCCCAAAATGGGGTATTTTGGGGGCAGCTCCAAATTTTCAAATGTAAACACCTATCATGATCATGTGACCCCTCATTTTAAAGGGTTTATCAAGAGAAATTGAATGACGCAAACCAGAGGTCAATATCGCACCCCTAATCAAAATGGCAGCCATTTTAATTTAAGATGAGCAAGCAAGATAAAGTCTGGACACCCCCAGTTAACTTTATAACGTGTGGCTGTGGGAAAACCTAACTCGGCACATGTTTACAACATTAAAAAATGCACTTTTTCCTTTAAAGTTAGAACTTGTACCCAGTCCCCAAAATAGGGTATTTTGGGGGCAGCCCCAAATTTTCAAATGTAAACACCTATCATGTGACCTCTCATTTTAAAGGGTTTCTCAAAACAAATTAAATGGCGCAAACTAGAGGTCAATATCGCACCCCTAATCAAAATGGCAGTCATTTTTAAATATCCCCTATTAACTTTTTAACAGGTTATAGCAGGAAAACTAAACTCAGCATGCCTTTATAAAAAAAATGAATTCACCTTTTGGTCAATATTAAAATATTAATTTTTTAAAGTTAACTGGGGGTGTCAAGACTTTATGCTTAAGACTTGCTTATCTTAAATAATTAAAATGGCTGCCATTTTGATTAGGGATGCGATATTGACCTAGTTTGAGCCATTCAATTTATCTCAATAAACCCTTTAATACCCCCGCCGCAGCAAACCTGCAGACTAAGCGAATTTCCATTTGACTGATTGGATTTACACTGAAATGTGTACTTAAAAATATAACATTTATTACCGATTTAAAAAGAATTAGTTTAACAAGTACTTAGGTTTGCTGCATCAGGGAGGGTAAAATGTTTTTTTTTTTTAATGTTAGTAGTTAGTAAGAAATAAAAACATTTTCCAAATTTGATCAAAATATGTTAATAAACAAGCAAACTACAACGGTTTACTTATTCTCCATAAGAATAACATGGGAATTTTAAATTTACAATTTTTTTAAATTTTCTCCGTAACCATTAGGCGCATAATAACGCTTCAATATACTAAATTATTTGTTTTTTTAAGCTCTACAAAATGGTTTGGAAAGAAATTGCTAAATTTTATGTTTTTGGGGTCAAAAATGGGAAAAACCTATTTTTACCCCATAAAACCCCCCGTAAACCCCCGTTCCCATGGTCCGATCATGCTGGATCGCGAACTCGTTCGAATAAACGTACGTTTACACGTTTGTACCAAATTTCATCAAAATCGGATCATTTTTGCTCGAGTTATCGTGCTAACGGACACATATATATATACAGGGTGAGTTTCTACTGACGCCCATAACTTCGCCAGTGGATTCTACTGATCAAAATGAACAAAAAAGTTGATATAAACCCTAGTCCGATTCCGAACCGTTTGGTCGTAATTGAGAATTTTGTGTTTTCTAAAAATATTGGACTTTCTGTCACTATTTACTTTATAAAAATAAAACCAATTACTCTAGCGATTTATATAAAAAATAATTCGAAAGGGCATTAAATTTGCTACAAAACCAAGGTTACATGAAAAAATATTTCATTACATACATCGGTTCCTAGCCGAATTAAAGTAAAAATATTGTATAATAGTTATTTTGTTTAAGTTTTAAGACCCCTTTTTCTTACTTTATTCTGGTGCCACGCAATGTCCAACTAGATAAAAAACTTCCTCATTTAATAAGCTTTAAATTGGTATGCAATTTTAAATTGTTATTGGTAGTATTGACAGAAAAACTACCATCAAACTAAAGTAAAACACGGTTTACCGATTTGGTTTTAGCAAGGTAACAAAACTACTAATATTAAACTCACTGATTTACACATGTCTTGGTTCAAATCGTACTGGTTCAAATCAGCTGATTCAGTTGTTATGATTTGTAAACAAGTCTACTATGAACAAACTACTATGAAACTAAATAAAAACCAGGTTTACGAGTAAGGGTTTTCTTATTTTAATAATGCGAGGCAAATGAACACAACATTTTCATACAGTAACTCAATGGCATTAACAAATTAATTACAAGCGTTCAGAATAGACAATCAATGTTGATTGCTACTTAAGCAAGTTTTCGAAATGACCACCATTTTGTCTGATGCAGATGCGGACACGTTTTCTCAACTCTCTAACGGTAGCATTCAAGTTTACCGTATTGCGTAGTCGTGCAGTAGCTGTGACAATTCGGTTTCTCACTTCTTCAGCTGATTCCACTGGCGTCCGATAAACTTCTTGTTTAAGATACCCCCAAAAGTAATAATCCAATGGATTGAGGTCTGGTGACCGTGGAGGCCAGGCAACGGTTCCACCTCTTCCTATCCACAAGCGGAAGTTGTTGCTTAAATAGTCACGTACATTGAGATTGAAGTGCGGGGGTGCGCCATCAGCTTGGTACTCAATGCGATCTCGCAAATTCAATGGAATGTCCTCCAGGAGTTCTGGTAGGATTTCAGTTAGGAACTGTAAGTAGTCAACTCCATTCAGTGTTGGAGGAAGGTCAAGATATGGTCCAATCACTCGATTTCCTATCAGTCCAGCCCACACATTTACCTTGAATCGTGACTGACTCCTAGATTCACGAACGAGATGCGGATTATCGTCAGCATAGTGATGCTCATTATGGAAATTGAAGACTCCATCTCTCGTAAACGTACATTCATCAGTCCATAAAATTGTTTTCAGGAAATCCCTGTGATCATGTTGCCGGATCCACTGACAAAACTGGAGCCTCTGAGGTGGATCTCTCGGCTCGAGTTTCTGGACGCGCGTGAAATGAAATGGGTGCAACCCCTCTTTTCGTAATAGTTTTGACACAAATGTTTGAGAAACTCACGGGCTAATGTCCTCGTACTTATCCTTGGATCTTCACTTACCCGTTCTAAGACAGCCTCTTCCAATCCAACATCTTGCATAAAGTTTCCAACTAAGCGGCCGTTGGTGGGAAACTTTCCATTTTCACGCAAACACTGGTGGACGCGAATAAATGTTTTTCGATCAGGAATCCTCCTGTCTGGAAAGCGTCGAATGTACTCGCGAACACTTTTGGACGCATTTCCAGAACAAACACCATAAACATAATGCATATCAGCATATTCTGAACTTGTGAAAGGATCCATAACGTGAAAAATAACAAACAAGCGTTTTAATCTGACTAGGAAACCAAACAACGTTATTTGCTATAGCTGATTTAGACTTGTTTACAAATCATAACAATTGAATCAGCTGATTTGAACCAGTACGATTTGAACCAAGACATGTGTAAATCAGTGAGTTTAATATTAGTAGTTTTGTTACCTTGCTAAAACCAAATCGGTAAACCGTGTTTTACTTTAGTTTGATGGTAGTTTTTCTGTCAATTCTACCAACAACAATTTAAAATTGCATATCAATTTAAAGCTTATTAAATGAGGAAGTTTTTCATCTAGTTGGACATTGTGTGGCAGCAGAATAAGGTAAGAAAAATGGGTCTTAAAACTTAAACAAAATAACTATTATACGATATTTTTTACTTTAATTCGGCTAGGAACCGATGTATGTAATGAAATATTTTTTCATGTAACCTTGGTTTTGTAGCAAATTTAATGCCCTTTCGAATTATTTTTTATATAAATCGCTAGAGTAATTGGTTTTATTTTTATAAAGTAAATAGTGACAGAAAGTCCAATATTTTTAGAAAACACAAAATTCTCAATTACGACCAAACGGTTCGGAATCGGACTAGGGTTTATATCAACTTTTTTGTTCATTTTGATCAGTAGAATCCACTGGCGAAGTTATGGGCGTCAGTAGAAACTCACCCTGTATATATATATAAATATATAAATATATATATATATATATGAATTTGAACGGATGGTGTTTTTGGCCTCTAGGGACCTCAAAACGAAAAAAAAAATCGGTCCCGCGTCCAGGTCTTACCATGAGTACTACGGTAATAGCTTATTCCCTATATGGGAAATTCGCTAATAAAATGAGGGGTCACATGATAGGTACATTTGAAAATTTGGGGCTGCCCCAAAATACCCCATTTTGGGGGCTGGGGCAAAGTTTTAACTTTGATGAAAAAGTACAATTTATTATGTTGTAAATATGTGCCAAGTTTGGTTTTCCTACTGCAACACGTTATTTAAAAAGTTAACTAGGGGGTTCCAGACTTTTGCCTAACCCTGTATGGTAAAGCTTTGTGGCTTTTAATATCCAATTTGTTGTTTGACCATTTGTTGTTCAAAAAAATAACTCTTCTTTGAAAAATGAATTTTGAAGTTTCGTTATAACTCAACAATTATATTTTGAACTTCCATTGAAGAATGTTGTTTATTTTTTCTTGCTACCTTTTTGGTAGTCTCACAGCCCATGCAAAGTAGTAATTAAGAAATTTTATGGTTACTCAGTTCATTTTATATAACCATCACAACATTATCTAATGATAATTTCTTACAATATCCCTTACGGTATTTAAAACTCTTCCAATAAAATAGTATAGCAATTATTCGACAATGATTGTAAAATTTCCCTGAATCTGATTTAATTTCAAGAGGAAAGCCTTACTATCATCATCAGATTGATTGGGCGAACCCAATGTTTTCTTTCTATTTAGTCCAGCATTTTGCAAAAACTAGCATACAACAATAGCTATGTTGACGTCCTCGTCACACATGTCCAAACAATACTATAGCAGATGACCAGTAAAAATGATATTTATTTTTTCTTAATTTTGCTTGAAACCAAATTCTGAATTATGCTTGAACCTCCCGCTCACTGGAGAAGCAAAAATACAAAATGCTTCAAGCAATTCGTTGTGCAACTTTTTGCTTCAGGAGAAATGCTGGATCAGTGTGCGCCCAGCATTAACATAACATTGATATTTTGTCCTAAAATAGTACTTCTTCAGAGAGTGGATTGAAGAGAATCTTCAGAGACCTTATATTGTGTAGGCCTATCTATTAGCCCTTGGACTTTTAGCTTTCTCAGGTAAGTTACAGTAGCTAAACACCATCCCTTAACAAAAATCTCCTTGGGAATCGTGAGGAGTTCAATTGACGTTTTTAGCTACACAAAGTAAAATGTATCTATCGATCGATAATCTCTTACTAAGCAGTCCATCTATTTTTTCAGTAAAATTCCCCTAAGTTAACTTTAGGGGTTACATATTTACTTTTACATTAAATTAATTCAATTTATTAATTTAAAATGTCATCTGCCGTCTGCAGTGGATGTACAGTATTGAAGTGTGGATACCTCACCAAGATTTCAATATTCCTTTTTTGTGCATGCAGCATATGATCGGTACATCAAGTTATGGGATACTGAAACAGGAGAATGTATCTCTCGTTTCACCAGCCGCAAGATACCGTATTGTGTCAAATTCAATCCTGACGAAGATAAACAACATCTCTTTGTAGCGGGAACATCGGACAAAAAGATTATTTGCGTAAGTTCATTATGGTGATGGCTAAAACTAGACTTACTAGGCTTAATACAATAGTAATCTTGTAGAATTCATTTTTATAACACCAGGATTGTGTTTACAGTACTTACAAATAATAGGTAAAACTTACTTTGTCAGACAATCCTTAACAATTAGAGTAGCATGTGGTGAAACTTTCTATATATGTTTTGGATGTTATTACAATTCACCATAGTCTAGCAAAAGTCAGTCTAACAAAAGAAACCACTTCTTAATGTGTTACCAGAATAAGTTATGTCACAGTTTACACATGGCACAAGAACAAATACCAAACCGACATTGTTTAAGCCATTGTTAGTATTTATTTGATCACAAAACAAGTACAGTAGTTTGCATTTTAAACAAACTATTCATAACCACTCCTTCCAGTGGTCGAAAACTCAACCAAAAATATGTAATGTATAGACTCTCTATTTTCACCCCACACTGTAATAAAAAATGTGATTGGAATTTCTTCCATTTGTTTTTATTTTCTGTATATATTTTGTTGTTATTTTATTTTGTCACCAGCATGACAACCCACAAGGCCAATGTTAATTTTTAAAATTTAAAATTAATTTATTGTGTTTATTTTTGAACCTATTTTAATCTATACAGGAATTTTGCACATCCCAGGAAAATATCTTTCTAGCAGTATGCATAGATTTTTCCTGTGATTTTTTTTGAGCTTAGAAAAAAAGGTTTGAAAGAAACATGCTTGCCTATTATATATAGATACTAGCTGTACCCGCGGGCTTTGCCCCGCTTTACTTCATAAGTGAGCTCGTTCGCATGGCTCAATCAACGTCCTAGTTGAAATTTGTTCGCTACGCTCACTCACCTTTAGGTTGGAGCCCGTTCGCTGCGCTCACTTGCCTTCAGGTTAGCTTGTTCGCTACGCTAACTCGCCTCCAGGTTGAAGTTCGTTCGCTACGCTCACTCACCTTTTGGTTGCAAATTAGCTGGTAAAAATTATAAAAAAATAATAGTGCTGCACCCTGTTGGTAATCCTTGTAACTTTAATGCTATTGAACATCATAGAACAGAACCAACTTGTTTAATTGAAACAGCTGTTAAGATTCATTAATTCCATTTAAAAATGAGTACACTTGAGTCCCGCTAATCCGAACACGGTTAGTCCGAACGTCCGCTTAATCCGAACACGTTCCCGATATTATTTTAAATAAATTTGCACTATATAAAATGCAATGGGAAAGGTAAAATATCTTGAAATGAAGTATAAACAGAGTAATCAATTTAGGAATACAATGGTTTGTTTATTACGTAAAGTTTAAATTTACAAATCGTAATAAAAAACAACAAATAAAACAAAGAATTATTTTGTAAGAAATATTGCACATACCGTACTGAAAAATTAACTTTGGTTAGGCCTACTTGTTATTGGACATTAAATCCCGCATTGTCATTTGCTGCAGTTTAGTAAGTCTGTTTTTTGCCGCGTAGTTCCGCCATTTTCTCATGAACATCACATCTGCAGGCGTAGCAGTGGCAGTAGACTGTTTGGTTTGACTGTTGTTCTAAGTAGCGAAGGGCAAGGTCAAGCGCTGCAGCTGCCTCATTGTGTGTCACTTTCTCTTCTCCTCCCCCGCCCCCTAGCTCGTCATCACTACCCTCCCCCAGTGTATCCTCACGACCAAAATAATAATCCCGCTTGCCGGGTCGAAAAATCACGTTTAATCCCGCTTTTGAATGATAGAAAATCCCGTTTTATCCCGCATGTGTTTTTGTTCAATCCCGAGTGTTTTATTTGACGTACCATGTTTAAATAGTTGTATAAACATTGCTATTATCTTTTACTACAGTCGTTTTTTTATCCACTGTAGTTCGTTTTCCCCTCAAATTAAATAGAAAGTATAAAAATACACGTCGTAGCTGAAAATCCCGTTTTATCCCGCATCCCGTTTTAATCCCACTCGTGGTCTAAAAGTCCTGTTTTCGGGATAATAATCCAGAGAATGGAAACACTGCCCTCCCCCTCGTCGCCCTGAACATGATCTTGCGTCACTGCTGCTAGCTGCTATGATGTCATCGTCAGTCAGAGTCTGACGACAGTCAGAGCAGACGTACAGTCCGCGCGCATTATCGTCACATCACTCACATCATACACGTCTGCCCACCCGTTCATATCGCTCTACGCTAAGTTTGATTAACTAATGCGCTTATTTAACTTTTGTTTTTTAGTTTTGTTGTAGTAAATGGACTATTAATATTGGTTTTTGTGTATGTCTTGTTCATATTACGACACTACGACCGCATAAAATTGCTTCCTTCTTGATTATTTACATTATTTCGGCTAATCCGAACAATTAGCTAATCCGAACGGGGTTCGGTCCCAATTAGTTCGGATTAGCCGGACTGCACTGTACTCGTAAGGTTAACATGGGAAACTCCAGAGCCACTGGGGCAGAGCCCGAGAGTCCGATCAAATTAAAAACAACTTAGTTTTCCTATTTAATACCTAAAGAATCAGTGTACCAAATTTCAGCCTTCTAGGTAAATGGAAAGTGGGAGAATTAGTGATGAGTGAGTGAGTCAGTCAGTGAGGGCTTTGCCTTATATATTCCATTTCTCATAAGGTTAACATGGGAAACTCCAGAGCCACTGGGGCGGAGCCCGAAAGGATTTTTGAAATAAGAATATGCCTATATGTCAATCGGGAATGTGAGCTATCATCATGCCAAATTTCAGCCCAATCCGACCAGTATTTTTCGAGTTTACTTTTCCCATACACACATACACACATACAGCAACCACCTCTTTTTTATAATAGTATAGATAGATATTGAAATTAGGGGCGGTTTAAGTAAGGCCGGTTTTATGTATTAATCCATAGTTTGCTTGTATGCCACAAAGAGGCTCCTCACCCCACTTACTGGCATCACTTGTGACCAGAATGACACAAATTAAAGCTATGTAGCTGTCATGTACGCTCGCTGTGTGTTTTACAAACTTTTTAAACCATTGAATCCCCTTCCGCGTCCTAGGTAAGGTCACAGTGAATTGCTTTTTGATTACAAGATATGTATCCGATGCTTATCTTCATGGCCAGACTACTGGAGTTTATGATCATGATACGATGATAGCGTGGAAAGTAGAAAAATAGGCTAGCGAAGTAAAATATGGATAATTTATAAAACTGGATAGCCTTTTGTTGTTATTATTAAAAACAAAGTTTTAGAGGTAGACCTATGAATGAGATTCATATTTCATTTTACAAGCATGGTTAGTTAGCCTTCAATATCTGGTTGTCTTCCAGCAACTTAATTTATTATTTAGATTTTGTTATGTAAAAAAAAGTTGTCTTTTCAAAACAAAACCACTTTGACAACTAGTCTTGTTTCAGTGGGACACCCGCAGTGGTGAGATTGTCCAGGAGTATGACAGGCATCTTGGAGCAGTCAACTCCATTACCTTTGTAGATGAGAACAGAAGATTTGTCACCACCTCCGATGATAAGAGTCTTAGAGTCTGGGAATGGTAAGATAGTTATTGACATAATTGTATTTTTGTATTTCAATCTCTTTATTACCGAATTTCCCATACAGGGAATAAGCTATTACCGTAGTACTCATGGTGAGACCTGGACCCGGGACCGATTTACTTTTTAGTTTTGAGGTCCCTAGAGGCCAAAAACAACATCCGTTCAAATTTGTATATTATTAGGGGTCTGCGGTACAGAAAATTTAAGGTCGGTACGGTAGAATATTTTGTACCTCGGTTCTCGGTACAAAATCGGTACGGTACGCGGCTACCCGTTTTTTGCAGTTTTCTTCTCAGAACTGTATTTAAACCATTATTTTTAATTTTAATACATTGACATTACTATGAAAATGGATAGTATCCTACATTCATGGTTTAACTAACAACAATTACTGTACCACACATTATTAAAACCTTTTACTACTACGAGGATTGTGTCAAGAAAAATCACTGTTAAGATAAAGGCTTTACCTATTTTACTCTGAGATACTTTGAATAGCCATGATAAAGTGGTTTTAAAATCAGGATAAGAATGTTTAGGAATAAACATGTTTGAAGCATTAATTGACAAGATAATTTCACACAGCTGGTAAATTATTTCCAACCAACACAATGTCTAGTTGTTTTTTAAACTTTTAAAAACACATAAAAGCATTCAGTACGAAAACAGTTTAGTTGCCAGCTGTTCACATTCAACAGATGACAATGAAAAATAGGATGCTATGATGAAGTAATGGCAAAAAGCATCTTTTTTATCAGCTTGAAACTAAAATTTGTATTACCACAGAGTAAATATTATTGTCTTTTCATTTACAAAGTTAACATCCACACATATAAATCATTAGTTTATCTCAGACTCAATCAAATGTTCTTAGTACATTTTAAAGCTCTTCCAAAGAGTCAAAAGACCCAGGCCTAGACCTAATTATTTAGGATGGCCTACAATTGAGTAGGTTACAATGAGGGTAGCAAAATCACTATCATAATTCTAGTTCATAAGATTTAGATTGCATAAAGTACCTTCGACACAATAAAAAAAATATTGGAAACAAAAAAAAAATTAAACCTTAACAGCCACATACAACAATATAAGACAAGATACAGAACATGCAATGAAATAATTTAAGACTTAAATTATAGGTAATCTAATGTACTTTAAAAATGGTTATGGTTGTTCTTTATGAAAAAGTGATGCTTCAGGGTCAAAATCGGACAAACGTAAAAATAGTCCGAAGTTCCGCCGATTTTTAAGCTTTTTGGAGGTGATCCGGAAGGTCGCCAAGGTCGAAAATTTGGATTTAGCAACTCGGTACTATTACAAACAACATAAAAAAAAGAAACCTACTACCCCATTTCATGCAAGGTAGACCCTGATTTTTATAACAAGGTTACTGGGTTACTGTAGGGTTGTAGCGTATAGCTTTGATGTCATGATGACAATTTATTGGGTCACCAGCAACCCGTCCAGGCCTTATTGACGTGTAAGCCATACTTTCTGTCTTTGAGTAGTTCTCAAAGAAGGTGTAGTTCAGAAATTCTGATTCGTAAGGAAATGGGTTTTTCCTGGCTTCTTTTGTCAGGGCGTGATATTGGCTGGGTAAGTATATCTCTTTGTTCTTTAGTTTTTCTTCTATATTACTATATTACTATTACTATATTACTATTACTATATTTCTATATTACTACTGTTATGGACAGAGTCACACTCCATTTGAGTGTGGCCCTTAAGTAAAAACTTTTGTTCAATTACAGAGCAAGAGCATTAGAAAAGATCGCGTTTCTATTTTGGTTTCCACAGCTATCAGACCAGAGCACAACTGGCTTGGGGTCTATAGACAACATTTCCTTCAGCTTATGTACGACACATGATGCAAAGACAGAGGCTTCAAGTGTCACAGCTGTTTTGTCAAACCAAAAGCATTTCACTTCTTTTGTACCAAGATTATACATGGTAAAGTTGTGCACCACGAGCTTTGTTTTATAGTAAAGCGCACTTGCTTTTAGAAAAGGTGCCACCTTGACGGCCTCTACGTCAGATGTAAACGCATACACCTCTTTATCCTTGGCTTTTCTTTTGTCGGATTCTTTTTCTTGTCTGGCATCATTTAGCTTGATATGGACTTGGTAGGTTTCTTCTGTGACGTTTCCAACTTCATACGAAGCGCAAACATCGCACTTGTCCTTTTTAAGTTGAAAAATGGAGGGATTCTTCTTATAAAAAGAATTGTCGAAGGAATGTTTGCCCTCTTTTAGCTCTTCAGTGTGACAATGTTTTTTGTAAGTATCATACAAGTGAGTCATTGACTCAAATGTAGGCTCAATGTACAAACGGGATGAAGACTTCTGACAATAATGTGAAGGCATTTTTGGTAGAGCATTCAGGAATCTATCCAAACATTCATTTTGGTTTAGTTTTTTCTTTTTAGAAACTGTAACACATTTAAAATGATACAAATAAATTACTTTAATACACCTTTACATAGATAGATTAGTAAATTCAATTCAATTCAAATATCTTTATTCGTTTTTGAAATTGTAATAAAGGAATTGTCTATTGTCTACATAATATCTACATGATATCTTCCTTATATCGCGGTGAATTTGTGAACATCTTCAGCCGTGGAAAAGCCGGAAATATCTTCAACTATCAGGGCGATCGAAAAGTGACGATATGCCATTTTCTACGATCACGGTAACATCATCTTCTCATGATCAGGGGAAATCCTGAATATCACACTTGATCGCAGCATATTGTCACTTTTCGATCGACCATCTTGGAGAAGATTGTTTCCAGTCCAAACCGATCTGTCTAGCCAAATGTTGGCAGAACCCAACCCAAAAATATTAGGAACTACAGACCCGTAGTTGTTTGCAACACATAGTTTTTAGGTCTGTTAAAGACCTCTGGATTTCTGATGATATAATAATTTTTTTCAGGGACATCCCAGTGGACATGAAGTACATAGCGGATCCCAGCATGCACTCCATGCCTGCTGTCACTCCGTCACCCAACCACAAGTGGCTGGCATGTCAGAGCATGGACAACAAGATTGTCATATTCTCAGCTCTCAACCGGTTCAAACTTAACCGCAAGAAGACATTTACAGGTCACATGGTCGCTGGATATGCCTGCTCTCTAGACTTCTCTCCTGATATGAGGTAGTGAAACATGAGGGTTGTTGCAGTGATGGTATATTAAAGGGGAAAGATATAATTCCATATCCAAATCTAGTACACAAAAATATTTTATAAGTACAGGTTAGGCTTGAATTATCATGTAACAAGGTTATTGTGTATGGGCTTAAGAGCCTAGGGTTGAAAGATTTTTTTGAAAAAGGTTTGCCTGAATGGGGAAGATTCCATCCTGACTTGAGTTGCCATACATTGGAAGAAAATTGTTTTCAGGTTTAGTGTAATGGTTTGATGTTTGAGTTACGGTAGTTGTGAATTGTAGTGTTTCAGCCAGCCTTAGGTTTCTACCAAACGTGAAAACATCTTTCCCAAGAGTAAAACGATCTCGGCACTGGGGTGAATGTTAGACCTTTGAAAAATAAGCTGGATTCAGCTCCGACTAGATTTGTGAAGGTTTTCCTTGGTTTTAAAATATGTGTTAGGTCTGCACTGCAGAGTGCCTTTGGGATTTTTGATAGTCTTGGAAGTTGACCAACTGGGGTGGATAAGATTGATTAAGTGGCTTTTTGCGTAAAAAAGAACAGTGGTTAGGTCTATGTGTAGTTTGACAAAAAGTGGCTATGAAGCCTACCTTTTAAATCTGGCTAACACGGAGTTGAGAAAGTTTCATTAATTTTATCTTGGCTAGGTCATCCTGCAGTTTGTTTGCTTCATTAACAACAGTGTCTACTCAATATATAACTAGTGTAATTTCAGTGAGATAGGGGTAGTGGGATAAAATAGTGTTGGCTGTTGTGTTTAATTTACCAGATAGTTCTGGTTGTTTTCTTTTGTAGGATTTAGTAACCAGTATTGTGGTCTCCTTGATGCATTAGGGTGATTTTAGGCCTCATGTAATTATGACAACCTGATACTGGTGGTTTGCAGGAAAGGCATTTTGGGGCTAGGCCTAGATTGATAGAAAAGAAAAAGGAAATGTGGATTTCTCTTGGCTAAAGGTGTAAATTGTTTAACCAGACATTTAGAAGTATTTTTCGTACATAAAAATTTAAAAGGAAACATTGATAGGAAAAAAGAATAGGACAGAAAACAATTAGAACGTAGCGTGAAAACTGGGTCTTTAAGGTTATGAGGTTTTTGTTGAAAATGGCTTTGGGCTAGAGTTTTTAATGTTAGGGTTGACTAATTTAATTAAAACCTATCCTTAACAAAATACTTAAAAATCAAGGTAAACTATGGCACTGTTTTGACGAGAAAAAATAAATTTTTCCAAGGTAATAATAAGTTGTTTTACAAAATAAAATTACATTACCTGTATATATAAACCTCCTCCCACAGGTGGTGTGTACCTGTGTTTTGCTCAGTCAAAATATGACAAAATTGGCAACTGTAATCCTGACACTAGAAGCAAACAAAAGTTATAATACTTCACTGCAGTGCTCGATTTGTAGAAAATGAGGTTCCGGAACTGTAACTTGACAGGTTTCGGAGCACTGCTTCACTGACAGAATATTTGTGTCGGGTAGAAAGATGTTTTAATCTCTTAGACATCCTGTTTTCTTTAACACAAATCTTCTTTGGTTGAAAGTGCTGTCAGTTTACAATGAAATATTCTAATTTTTGTGTAGAGTGTTTATGTTTCTTGTACCAAAATTGACACTTTCCTTTTTTAGTAAGCCTGGTTTCCCAAAAAAACTCTTCATACTTTAACTAAGCTTGTTTTTACGTAAGTTACAACTGTTAGACCTGTCTATTGCTTGGGTTGTTACAGCTACATAGTGTCAGGAGATGCTGATGGCAAGACCTACGTGTGGGACTGGAAGACAACCAAACTGTTCAGCAAATGGAAGGCACATGACAACGTCTGTATATCTGTTCTTTGGCATCCTCACGAGCCCAGCAAGCTAGCCACAGCGGGCTGGGACGGTCTCATCAAATACTGGGACTAAACTAACCCAACGGACATTTTGTATATAGTTTTTAATAAATAATTTATACAGTTTATTGCCATATAAAGATTACCTAGAGTAAATTTGTGTTATTTCTTTTACATAGTTTTCCCTCAATTTGCTAGATCTTCCTTATTTTATATCAAATGTCACAATTTTAATTTACCACACATTCAAAAGCCTTTGTAGTTCAGTAATTAGGTCCTCAAGAAAAATGGAATAAGTCCAACTCGTTATTCCTTTTGATATTATTAAACGTTGACTCACTGATATAACTAACTTATAAGGTGGATTACTACAAGAAAATTTTGGTAGGTTTAAAGTTAATTAGGTAGGTTACTGAGTTTTGTTATTTCCTTACTAAAAAATTAAAGCTAATGTCGTAGTTTAGAACTCAGGATTTTCACACTATTTGTGCTTGTACAATGCAGAGAAGGTTCTCCTTACCTTAGAAACCTTTCCTTATTGATCTTCAATACAGGTGGACCTGTAGCTTTAGATGTGAGACCAAACAGCTGGGCTTTGTCAAATAGCTTACAATACAGGTGGACGTGTAGCTTTAGATGTGAGACCAAACACCTGGGCTTTGTCAAATAGCTTAAAGCCATTGGAGATTGGCAGGGTTTCAACCTGGGACTCATGGAAAGAAGTTCTGTCCTCTAAATTCTACCCAGTAATACGCCAACTGTATTCATCTATTGTTTATTCAGAAAGATAAAATTTTGTAGGACTACTAGCTTTACTTTAATAAATCAAACTAAATGGAAGTTGAGGGATGTGTTCAAAGAGTTCCATAATCGACAAATGTTGATTTCCAAGGAAATGTGTACATACAATACAAAATTTAAAAACTAGATGTACTCACACGATAACATTATTTGTCTTTTCAAACAAAATCTGTCTTAGTACAAGTATTACCTTTTTTTAAAACCATATATTGATTTGTTACTTTTGGATGAAACAACTCAAAACATTTTTTTAATTGAGAGCTGTGGTGTTAGCTGTAAATATACGCAATATTAGTACCCACAACATGTTTCCAATATTAGATTCTAAATAATTTAACAATTAATTTGTATAACTTTGTATGGATTTTAGTTCAGGACATTATTTTAACATTTTTTAATTGTTGGTCTAGTGTTTGGCAATATTATTTAATATCCCAGCCGCAGCAAACCTGCAAACTAAGCGAATTCCCATTTGCCTGAATTGACACCCATTTAAATCTATTTAAATTACATTAGATTAACAAACACCTATGTTTGTTGCTACAGAGAGGGTAATAAAGTTTTTTTGTATAAAAATATTATATTAGCTAAGTATAAAATAAAGAAATTCACCATGATTTATCAACATCTATCCATCCATAAACAAGAAAACTACAACAGTTTACACTAATTTCCACAAGAATAACATGGGAATAGACAATAGACAATAATTTTTATTGACATGTTCATTTAGAACAGTACATGCGTCAGAATAATAAATACAATTTGTGAAATTAATGTGTTGTTAAAGCTGGTTGTCAAGGATTTTTTTTTCTGAGTAGAATGGCCTTTCTTGCAGCCATGTTGTTAATTGGTTCTTGAAACGTTGAGTTTGTTCATTTCTAGTGGGTGTTGTGACCCATCATTTCGAATTACTTTTATAAGCTGAACTCAATTCCATGATCCGTTTTTTTCATTTTCATATTTTTATTTTGAAATATTGACATTTAAAAAAAAATATTTCAATATTTAATAAAGAAAACCTGATAAAAAAATGAATTGCGGCATTGAGTTCAGCTTAAAAAAGTAATTCAAAGTTATGGGTCACAACACCCCCTTCATATTTAAAAAAAATTATCACATTTCAAAATGGCGGAACCAAGATGGCGGCCGAAAAATTACATCCGTCATAACCAAGTGAAAATAAGTCAAAAATGAGTGGTGGTGTATACTTATCTTTATCTAACACTATTTTAAAATTAGGGTCTTAGTTTGTTAATACAGAATGTTAAAATGGGCTAAAAAAAGTGATAAAAAGCCTTCATAACTTTGGAATGAATCAAGATTTTCAAAAACGGGTTGTGGCATTGTAATCAGAGTAAAAATCTAATTCAAAATAATGGGTCACAACCCCAACTTTATATTTTAAAAAAATATTTTTTTTCTAATATAGCGAATCCAAGACGGTGGCCGGAAATTACCACCTTGTCAAAATGAAGTACTTACTACCCAAAAATGTTTGGAAGTGGTCTGGGATTGATATTTGAAAAAAAATTAGAAAAAAGTTGGTGGGGGGACTATTGAAACTCACCAATATAGGCCTATGTGTGTGTGTGTGTGTGAATTTGAACGGACGGTGTTTTTGGCTTATGGGGACCTCAAAACAAAAATATTAATCGGTCCCGGGTCCAGGTCTTACCATGAGACCTACATTAATAGCTTATTCCCTAAGGGAAATTCGCTAAAAAAGTCACTGCACATTGATTATGACAGCACGTGGATAGATAGCTGTTGCCATGGTGATGCTCAAGTGGTGGGAAGGGGAGGGGGTGAGAATCAATAAACACCTTCCACCCAGCTGATTGAGAACATCATGTAATAGTCAACTGTCTTATTGGGATTACTTTGTTTCTAAAGGTAATTTACTCGTTTATTACACTACGTTTTTTGTTTATTAGCTTATTAAATAGTAAATTTGATCAAACCACTGACTATTAATACTTAGTCAGAGCGAAGGCTAAAACATATGGATGGCAAGTAGTAATGGCCCATTGAACATTTACATGCATTTATTAGCTTTTGCAATATTGGTTGGTAGTTCAATGTTTTCCATCCTAAATTTAAATTGTTTGTAATTTTTATAATATAGCAGACAAGTGCTATCATGGAACTAGGGTCTTTTAGCGAATTTCCCAATAGGGAATTAGCAATTACCATAAATCTCATGGTAAGACTTAGGCCCGGTACCGATTTACTTTTTCATTTTGATGTCTCCAGAGGCCAAAAACACCATCCATTCAAATTGTTACATATGTATATATATTTTATGGGTACATTTTGGTCAAACTTGGTAAATTTATTTATTTTGTACTAAGCTTTTAATATTCTACTAAAAACACACAGTTTATTACCCTCCCTATATCAGCAAACCTAGGTACTTGAGGGGTATTTGTTTGATGTGTACATTTTGCAAAAATTATCAACACTTTGCACATGTATTATTAATCTATATAATTAATACGCTACATGAAATTTTGTCGGTTGAACTCCTCCGCCATATCTTAACCGATTTTATCCATTGACGTCTCATTGGAAAGAGCGTGTCGCGTAGATTTGCAAACTGGCCTTACATTTTTTTAAAGTCCCTTGGGCTCTGCCCCAGTGGCTTTGAAAGTTCCCATGTTATCCTTATGGAGAACTTAATTGTTTACATTTTGATCAGCTGTATAATTTAATTGCTGTTTTTTATTTTTCAATTCAATGAAACGCATTGAGTACATTTATTTACTATTTGAGTTTGTGCAAACATAACCCCCAAGACGGATCGTGTAAGCATGATTGTAACTTAAATTTGTGCATTTAACGTTGTTTTGTGTAGCTATAATTTGTTTATTTGTTATTTGTTTGTTGGTTGTTTGTTGTTGTGTTTAAATGTCTCCGACGCGACGACAACGAAACATAGACAGGAGGCGTAATCGTGATAACGACCGCAGCTCACAGAACAGTGGCGAGTATTAGGCTTAACTCATCACAGTCAGCACCTGACCCTGGACAATCTCAACTATTAGGTTACAAATGCCCCCTAACACTACCCCAAAACGACTTTTCGTTCTCAATTGGCCCTCTATAAATGACCTGTGTTGCCTGTACAGCGAGGCATTTTGAGAAGGAGAAAACCGGCCCGAATGCTTTAGGTTTATCAATAACGAAGATAAACATAGTCTGAGTTACACACCGGTAATCTTTGAATTGACTCTTTTAAATTCGTTGTAAATATGACTGTTATTCGTTTTGAAATATCTTCTGTAATATTTGCAATTGCTCGAATTCGAGCAACATGTACACTAGTTGATATTATTAGGCTTATTATATTCCTTCCCATTCAATGAATATGAAAAACCCAGTTGTGTAACAGATTTTTTCGGGCCCCCCTGCAAACCTATTTTTTGGGCCCCCCCTCCTATGAGTTATTTTTAGACCACCAATACAACATAATCAAACACCCTCCCCCTGCGTTTTTTTGGACCAACAGTTGTTTTATCATAAATTGAGTAGTAAATAAATTATGGGTAATGTTTCATAAAATTATGTGTTAAGTTATTTCAGTCATGGTTTGATGATAAAGTTACATCACTACATCATTATATATATAAATATCAATATCAATGGTTGTGGGCCTAAATTTAAAATAAAATCAAAATACCTTATTTTTATACGTATCAGAATGTTTTATATAAAGGAGGTTTGATATTTAATTTATAACACATTTTAAATAATAAATTCTGTTAGTTTTTAACAATGGTTTTAAATTAACTCAATGAGGAAAATGTGAAGTGAAATCCTCGTTATATTCAGCATCTAGTTCTGTTGATTTAACTGTTCATCTGTAGACTACGATAAAAACTCCGGGGTGAGAACGGAATACATACTACTTACATTGTTCATCCCAAGAAATATTTAAGTGATTTGATTATTACAGTACCTTATTAAGATCCATGATACACAACGGTTTTAATATATAGGTCAGGGTCCGATAGGCAGTTCGTTCACTGCTAGTTCATCAAAATGATTTAAATTTTGTTAACCTTAAATGTTAAATTTGTTACCTTAGTTCATTCTCACTTTTAGGCCTAACAACATTAAACGATGTCAACATATTACTAACATTAATGTTATTAATTGTTTAATAGAATTATTAATACACAATGACAGGCACCGCTGGTGAGTCACCCGCATGGATCTCTATCAAAATCAGGTGATCTACGGTCAGCTGAGTTGCAGGTAGGGTCTGGCTCCGAGTGTGTGTCGCCCAGGCAGCAGGCGCACAGCTACAGCTCCTAGCATGTAGCAACACAACCACAC